CTCAACCTAAAATGCTGGTAGGGTGCTATACATATAGTGGGGAAATTGCGAAAGAATGGAGTGAAACGGTCAAAATCCTGCGAAAAAAGAGCCTCCGTTCTCAGTGACTTGCTTAGCTGTGAAGATTCAAAATGAGTCTTCACAGCCCTCTGATAGTAAGTATTGGAAGATGTCCTGGAACTTATTGCCCAACCTAATAGGGTGATGTGATACCTTTCTTTGCGAAAGCCTCCTTGATACTGTCGTAGTTCATGATGACCACATGTGGCTTCGGAAGCCAAACAGTGAAAATATCACCATAATCCTTCGACATTTGCTCGAAATCTTGATTTAATTTTCGCAGATTGATCTGAAAAAAATAATTTTGATGTGGTTGAAGATTCTCTCAAATTCTCAACAACATACTTACCGACAAAAGATTTCCAACGATCGGCAGAGGTGTTGGTCCTTTAGGATATCGTTTAACATTTGCATAGAATAACCATAAGTAGTAGACAATAAAAGATAGCAGAAATAGTACCAAGACGGCAAACATCCTTGTCGTGAGCCCGTCGTAGAAGTCTATTTATAAGGCAGACCAAAGTGTGAACACTGTGTTCTGCGTTTTGTGCTTGAGTTTTGTGCCACTACAAAATACAATTTTAATGGCGCCAGGGAGGGAGGAGCCTGACAAGTCGACCAACCAGTTCCGAGATGATCCACTGCTAATGCACTTATTCGATTGTAGTTTTTATTTCCCTGACTTTCATTCTCTCATTTTTTTTCTCAAAATCAATTTCGAGATATCTGGAAAACTTGCTCCAAAGGAAGTCTGAAAACAGTACACTTGTGCGCGGGGGGAGGGGGAGTTGGCACCAGAACCTTGGCGAAGTTCTGTAAGTTCCTTTAGTGTACTTGTTTTTCTGTAATATCAAGTTATCTAAAAATAAGTAAAATAAGCCAGAAATGGTGATGGAAAGGGGCGGGCAACCGATTCGAGAAACTCTGAAGTAACCGCTGCTCACGAAGTGCTGTACATGAGCTTACAGGCTTACCCACGATCACGAAGCGTATTAGCAAATTCACGTAAGTTTACGAGATGAACCCTCCCCCAGCGGGCCAGTGCCATCGTAGGAATTTCAAAATATGGTCAGAAGACATGATGACCTCTGCCGAAACATTATTTTCCTATTACTTGGGCTCAAAATCCTCCCCTGATTTACGCACTTTTACTTGAAAAAACATGGGAGCAAAGGGTTGGACCATGGACGGACTCCGTGATTCAACCCCCCACACCCATGCCTTCCACCCGGAACTGCAACTCGTCCATAGTTCTAAACTCCCTTGGGAAGGTACTACTGCAGATAATTGTAAAGGAAACAACTCAGCCACCGGGATTCTGAGCGGGAGTGGAAAGCATGCACCATTCCACAAAAGAAGTGGCAATCAGTAAAGCTTTATCCTCTTTCCGGGCACTCCATACATCGGGCATCCCAAGCGAGAGGTGGTCGGTCGCTAGAGGGAGTGAGGGAGGGGGGGGGTCGTTTTTGCCAAAGCAAAATGTTTTCGGTTTTTGGTTGCTGACCTTTTCTGGGTTTTTCCTGTTCCCTGTGCAGCCACCCCCTTGCCCGCCAAGTCAGGAAAACTCAGGAAGATGATAGGTAGGATGAAGGGATGGAGATGGGGAGGGGGCACACCAGAGTAGAACTTCTGAACGCATTTCGTGCCCTGTCCTTTATCCTCAAAGCAATTTCCGCTCTATCGTTTTCCAACAATCTTTCATTTACATATGTACAAGTTTCAGGAGACTTAATGACGCTGATTTGTAGATACAAAGCCAGTTCATTTCCTTTTCAAAAAAAAGAGAACCTGCTCTTTTTTGAATAATTCTACGTAAAGACTGAGCGCTGACAGCTCTTATCACCACAAAGACTATGGAACTTTAACAGAAAAAATAATCTGTTTTCACTCTTCTAAAGATTACAGACTACACGCCACACTCCAAAATCATCGACATTTTTGATGTATCACGACTTTTGTATTGTCATATTGTCATTCCTAATTTAATGATATTATTTAGTAGACTTCATGTTACAACACTTTTTTACAGCTTAAAATTAGAATGTCGTGAACACGTGCTTGTAAATTTTAATTTTCGTGTTTTCGCGCCCAATAAACAACCCCGGAAAACCTCTGGGTGGGGTGCAGAGACAGTGGACCATTTTGCCTTAAAAAATGTATTTGTCTCACCTAATGACTAGATCTTGGCTGACGGACCTGGAAGTCAGTCTTTTTATCCTTCCACAACCAGGACGAATCGGATTAATCTCATGGTCAGAGGGATAAAATGCTCGAATCTACTGACCAACCGCACTCTAGGCTAGCGAATCTCACTACTTTCTATTTACGAGGGCTCGCCGTTTGCCAGTCGAAAATTATCTTTTTAAGCGCATCATAAGAAAACCGCTTACGCTCTTTTATCAGCAGAGAACGGACTACATCAACAACTACAAACTACTTTGCAGTCTTCTTTGGCGGACACTAAGTTAAGAGAGCGGATTGCTATCAA